GCTAATAATTCTGGTCCTCCGGGTGTTGGAGAGTTTTCACATTTAGTTGCAGCTTTTCCAAAAGGAATGAGTAAACCTAGTTACGGTCCGCCAAATCATCCGGAGGCTGGTTTCCATGCCAATGGTGCAAGACATGGTGATGCGGGTATACCTAAATCCATCTATCCTCCGCCAAGAAAAGATTCTCATCCATTTAATCCAGATGATCTTTACTTGTTTCTGCGTGGGATTCCTTACTCTGCCACGGAAGATGAAGTTCGCGCTTTCCTTTCTGGCCTGCGTGTGGATGGAGTCATTCTGATAAAGCATCGCAATGGCTTGAACAACGGCGATTGCTTGGTAAGATTTGCCACGCCTGGAGATGCCTTAGAAGGACTTAAACGTCACAGACAATACATGGGTCAGAGGTTTATAGAAATAAGTCCGTCTACGGAGGAGCGGTGGATTGAGTATGGTGGGAGGGTGGACATGGCTAATGAAATGGATCACTTCTTGTGCAAAGAGCATTCTCCAGGCCGAGGTGAAGGCTACATGCATCCCAGGAAGCATTCGCACTCAAGGTCGCCGAGGAGGCAAAGAACACGCTCTCGTTCACCTCCCACCCAGGAATATTACATACACTTAAGAAATCTATCTACTAATATTGACAAGAGAGATTTGAGAGCTTTTTTCCCCGATCTGGATATTTGCAGCAAACAAATCAAGTTCCTGATGGATAAGCATCAGAGGAGGACTAGAGACGCGTTTGTGATGTTAAGGAGTGAGAGAGATTATCAGGCTGCTTTGGAGTGTCATAGAAAGGCTCTTCTCAATCGTCCTGTTTATATTTTTCCAATTTCAAGAAGATCAATGTTGAAAATAATTGATTCTTGTGAGAGGAAAAGATCACAGGAAAGAGATCATCCTGGACAAGGCTTACAGGATAAAAGTTATCGGGAAGGCCCTAAGTTATGTGCTTATGTAAGAAATCTTCCTTTTGATGTGACCAAAATTGAAGTGCAGAAATTCTTTGCAAGATTTGATATTGATGAAGATGATATTTACTTGCTCTATGATGATAAAGGAATGGGGTTGGGCGAAGCGTTAGTGAGGTTTAAATCTGAAGAACAAGCCATGAAAGCAGAAAACCTAAATCGGCGGAGGTTCTTGGGAACGGAGGTGTTATTGAGACTTATATCTGAAGAGCAGATGCAGGAGTTTGGTGTAACTGTTCCGTTGTCTCGACCAAGTGAAATGCAGGGTCATTCGCAGGCGTATGACAGAGGGGAGCTTTCCCGGCCAGTTGGTTCCCCAGCTGGACCTCCGCAGGGACCACCCATGCATTCGTTTGGTCCCCCGGGGAATTTTAGGCATCCTTCTGAATTCAGGCACCCCCCCGATGACTTCATGTGCCCTCCTGAGGACTTCCGAGGACCTCCACCACTCATGGATTTTGGTGACGGGGAGCCGTTCGGCAGAATGGAGTTYGGAAATAGCAAAATGGGAAGTTTCCCCGAAGGAAGATTTATCCCTGATCCCAATTTCAGTGGCGGTTCGGAACGTGTTGTTCCTATTCGATTGAAAAATCTGCCATTTAAAGCTACTCCTAATGAGATTCTGGATTTTTTCTATGGCTACCGAGTGATCCCGGAGTCGGTCTCTATTCAGTATAACGAGCAAGGATTGCCTTCAGGCGATGCCATTGTCGCTATGACAAACTACGAGGAAGCCATGGCTGCTATTAACGAACTCAACGATAGGCCCATTGGTCCTCGGAAAGTTAAGTTGAGTTTGCTGTGAAGGAGGAAACGTGCTCTAGAATAAAATATTCTAGATTTGACAGTATTGACAATTATTTCCACTTTTTTTTAAGTTACTGGAAGATGTAGAAGAAACGGTTTCCATCAACGGTTGTAAATAGTGTCTAGTTTAGCTGTTTAGTTCTTGGTTGAAATATCTGTATGGTTAAGATACCTGAGAACTGTATCGTGCCTGCTTCTCGTGGCAGAGAAGAGCCTGGAAATTCTGGAGGACGCTGAATATCAAGGTATAAAAGCATGAAGTTGCAATGCTTTTATTTTTTCTTTCCTCCAGTTTGCTTTAAATTCATGTCCCATGACTTTGCATCAGTAAGTGCTGAATGATTGATCACAGACGGTTCAAGCAGAAAAACTTCAGTGCTGCCTGCTTTAGTAAATTACACATTTTATTGAGAATAGCTTAAAAAAATACTGATTTCTTTTTTTGGTGTAAACTGTTCAGTCTTGTTTCAATTTTATGTTGTTACAGGCACCTCAATGTGAGGAGGGAGGGAACGTGCAGAGTTTCCTGTTCACATTAGCTGGCTTTGCTGGCTTGCGACTTTTTTAAATAATAAAAAAATTCCACTAAATGTGTGTCTGTGTTTAAAACTTGTGTAGTCACTGGTTTGGGTTGGCGTATGTCGGTCTGGGTGAGAAGGACACGGGCTGATTTGTGTGTGAATTATTACAACCTGTCAGCACAGCGRTGACTCTTGCGGTTACCGTGTCTCCAGATCTGGGTTAATCAGTCTGATGGGCTTTACTGATCCCTTCCCATTGTGTGGCGCTTTGAGGAAGAAAGTGAATGTTTGGAGACAGGTAAAGAATTGGGGCACCTGACATTTCGGAGGGATCCTTTTTTCATCYCAATCTGCTTGCCAGTGATGCTGCGTCCAAGTCACTTAACAGTTTTAATCAGCATCTGTCATTGGCAACCACGGACAAGCAGGTATTTTCTTACGTAAGAAAATTCTTTTTCTTTCTAATGCTATTTTTTTTAAAAGTATATTTTAACAAGAAAAAAAGCTGGCYTGTTTTGGGGGAGAACTGCTTTAAAATTTTAATATTCAGTAGGAGACCTGTTTCGGCTGTGTGGATAAGGACTTTGCTCACTGTTGACATAGTAGTCCAAACATTATTTTGTATAATCTCTAAAGAATTTTATGAAATACTGGGATCCCCTCTCAAAGGAAGCCAGCAAAATTGCAACCCAGTGATGAGTGCTGTAGCATCGACCTTTGCGTGGGTGGTTTCTTGGGTGTAAAGTCATCAATTACTTCATGTTTGTATAAACTAGGAGTAGAAGCAACCAAAAATGAGAGATCTTTTTATTTTATATTTTTAAAAACATTACTGTGGTTGTATATCTTTGCATTTTATTTGTGATCTGTTATAAACATTAGGAAAAAATAAAAGTACTTAAAAAATGGTAATAATAAGTCTTGTGTATGTAGATTCCTTAGAACAAAAGAATGTAAAGATGGGCAAATTTTCAAATTCTAAATACAGGCTAGTTCGCCTTCAGAATTTTACTGTGTTCTGAGTGCTCCTTCAAATTTAAATAGATTTTGATTTTTTTAATGCTTTTTCTTCCCAGTTGTGCTATAGAGGTCAATAAAGACAAAGCTGACAGACTTTGCAGGGAAAAACTTGCTCTTACCAGGAAACTTCGAAATAAACTTGCCTCACCTAGTGCTTCAGGTGAAAACTTCAGTGTACTTCTTGTTGTGAGTTATTATATTTAGTACAAATAATTGCCTTTTTATTGTCAGCCAAATGCAGATCATTTCACTAGTTAATCAGGTTAATCAACTTTTCATAATTTGTTGTTTTAAAGTTCTTCCAACCTGACTTATAGAGTTGTTTCTCTCTCTCTCTCTCTCTCTCTCTCTCTCTCTCTCTCTCTCTCTAAAATTAAAAGAATTTGGAGGTTGGTGGGAGAGGGGAAATGTTGTGGCTTATTTGTGGCTTAGGCTACTTCTAAAACAAAATCTTCAACTTATATCAATGTCTCAATTTGTTCTCCAAACGGTAACTTTTGATGAGGTACCCTTAATTTGGGGGAGGAAAAAGATTGGATTTCTGGTCAGTATTAAAGGTCAGCTGTGAGAAAGTACTTGGGTGGCAGAAGTTTTGTTTAAATTTTTCCTTCTCTACATTTCAAGAGTRAAATAAGTCTTTGCTTTGACAATTTAATATATGATTTTTCTATTTCTTTGATGGAATGACTAGGTATATTTGTCATAGATGTTTGAGTAATTCTGTAATTACTTTCTAATTTTCGATTTTTAAAAAGTCTCCTCCTTGTCAGTAGTTTGTAGCTCATGTATTTGTCCAACACACCAACTTCTTACGTAGGATAGCAAAGCAGCCCAACACCCTATTTGTCCCTTTCTGTAGGTTCTGTTAATTTGCCAAGATGCAGGAAAGGAACTTAAAGCTGCTCACTAAAAAAAAATCTCTTCCTGTACCCTGGCCACCAATCTTGTAGGAGGGATTAATCTAAATGCTACTTCCTCCTTAAAGTTAAATAATTCCTCTAAATTCTTTCATATCTGAACTATACCAAACCCTTGCTTGTTTGTCAAGCTTTATATCAACGGACAAAAGTAATATCAACATGCAAAATGTATTTCCTGCTTTATTTCCTTAGTTGAACATATATTTTGGTTATAAATTAACATCATTCTCCTACCTATGATTTTAAGTTCTAGCATTTCTTAAAAAAGAAAAAAAGGTGTAAAATGTTCATTGTTTTTAGAATTTATGAATATCGCTACATTTAGTAAAATCTAAAGCTAGAGGTAAGCAATATGGCATTATTATTTTGGCAATAACATGCTATTCAAAATGAACAAAAGCACCATTTGGAAATAGGATAAAAACTTAAGACTCAGTGTGTAATTTCTTGTGTGCTTGATAGAAYTGGTAACTGAATCAACCAATTTAGTCAGATATGTAAACTCCAACTTATATGTCAATTAGTAAAATTAATTTTATTATGAAGGCACTTTTATTTAAAAGCAAAGCAGTATGAAAAGTAGATGTTGCACCAGACCTTTACATTTCTGTTAATGCTTCACTCTGTACATGTAAACAAATCAATTGAAAAACAGCTCTGAGGAAGCCTGAGGAAAATAAAAGYGAGAAATCAACTCCTACCCCGCTGCCTTCTGTGAGCCCCGGGAGGTGACAAAATGCAGCGGGACTGATGCTCTCAGCGAGTTCTTGACTCCTGCAGTTCCCTTAAGACGCGGAGCGGCCACTAGGGCAGGTGCAGCCAGAAGGCAACCCAGGAGGTTTGTGTTCTGTAATGTGTTGGCAAAGGGACRAGCAGACTCCCCCATTCCTAACTGCCTGGCACCTTAGTGCAGGTTTGGGACACTGCTCATGGTGAAAGCCTTATGTAAACATGACTGCACTATAACTCCTATGCAAGTCTAACATAGAATTCTATTTAAATGTTTCATTTTCTGTCTACTGAAAATTGTCCATTTTCAGCAGATTTATTCCCACTCTTTAAAACTGATCATTTGTGGTCTGTAGACCMCAGTGTACTATTAATACTACAGTTTGCATTTGTTGGAATTTTAAAACTACAACCCCAGGGAAAATTTTCATTAATACATACAAGGTGTTAAGTTTTTTTTTTTCCACCCATCAATTAAAAAAAGAAAAAATATTTAGAACACTTTTATCATCTCTCTTGCTTAGCAGCATCTAATTCTTCCTCATCATCATCCTCTTCTTCATCATCATCTTCTTCCTCTTCATCTTTCCTAAGTCGATTGCTGGAAATCTGCTAAAACCACAATCCAAAAGAAACGTTAGTCAAGTACATTTGTTTGCCTGAAAGGAAAGTTTTCCTGTGTGCATTCAATATCTTAAGGACTTGTAGATTGTTCCTATATATAAATATATTTTCTTTTTCGGTGGGTGAAAGGAAGGGAAGAGGCCTCCTTCATCTTCTAGCATGGAATAGAAGACAGCAAATGAAGGAAATGATTTTTAAAATTAAAAATAAAACCACCACTACACATAGCTCTGAAAGCAGGTATATCCTGCGAAAAGTAGGTCCTGCTTGAACTTTTGTGAAAAACCAACACTGCGGGAGGCAGGTGCGTTGCGGGGGCAGCTCAGATGACAGGCTGAGGTTGAGATGAACATCAGGGAATCATCTCAAGGAAACCACCCTTTTCCAGTTGAATGAAAAGCCGACACTGCTGCTCTAAGCTGTCTTCAAGACAGCTTAAATGAGATGAGCTTTACTAGGGGATTCTTGATGTGTGAGCCTTCCTTGCCCGTCAGTGCTTGCCTTCGGAGTGATTCCTCAGAGGCAGAGTGATAGGCACAAGGAGGGGCTGCTGACTGGCATTCCTCCCATCTCACAGATTGAGCCATCCAGCCTTTTTTCTTTTTTTTCTTTTTTTTTTTTTTTTCCCTCTTCTCTCTCCTAGTAAAGGGTCTGTTATCTTACTTACTTATCAATTAACACTTGTTGGAACTAGCTTCCCGGCTGGTCAGCATTTTGTGATTCTCTGTACTTATTTCTGGCCTATTGCACCATTTGTTCATGTGTCAGCACTATTTGACTCAAGTATTTTTCCCTTCTTTACAGAGTATCTACTAAAGGGGAATATATTTGTTGTTAAGCTTCTTTATTTTCCACAGAAAATAAACTTTTCATGTGTAAATGTAAAAAGCACAAAAAGTTATGAAAGCMATATATATAGATAGAGATAAAAAAACATACAGCCAAGGCTTAGATTTATTTTGAGGGTTAATTTACTGTTTAAAACCTTGTCAGTTCAAGACTGATGTTCCATCAGTCCAAAGGGAGTAACTGCCACTTACAGCAGTTATTATAAGCTCTATTAATAGCAGGAACTACTACTGAAAAATAACAAGAAGTAACATGTTGTTTAATGATATTCATACTTACTGTGTGCTGTGTAGTGCAACAATCCTAATGAAATACTGGAACAGCTTTGGCAGAACAGCATTTCCTTTGGCTGCCAGTAATAAAGGCAGCTCGTTCTTTTTTTAAGACACAAAGGGAATAAAAAGCTGTCCTTTCCATCACTTAAAGAGCTTATCTCTTTGTATGGAGGTAGGAACATGACCCTTTGGAATGGTACTTAAAGAGGAAACGCTGCACTGCATACCCTGTGTTTGCACATGTTCTCATTTACAGGGTGCTCAGGAAATTGCTAAATTTTCAATTAYGATTCCTAAATTTTCTCACATGTGCTTATATCTGTAGACTTCAGTACTGAAGACAAAAATTTGTCTCTTTTTATAATCCTCTATTTTTGAAAGTCTTTAGAACCTTCTTATTAGCTCTGATTTTGAGATTTAATAATTTATATGTTTGCATAGCTGTTATGTAGAACAGAAGCACAGGGCGTGTGTGCGCGTGCAACAGTGGAACTAGAAAAGCCCTTGCAGTTGTTGGTGCTGTCTGTTTTTACAGGCAGTTTGATCTCAGGCTACGCAGATAATTGAACATGCTGCAAATACTAACTTAGTTACAAATTTCTAAACATAACAGAAAGTGAAGTTAATCATTGGATGAGACAGGTCTAACTTTGGGCCAAGTGCCTACAAAAGCAATCCTTCATTCTTCAGTAGGAGAAGAAGTGACAATGATTCGTAATCAGAGAAACAAGAGTGCTGCAGATTGAGCCTCAGCTTCACTTCAATTGACAGAATAAATTCCAGGTGTTTTCCATGTTAGAGTAGCTGAATTTCTTAAGTAGAACTTCTGTCACATTTCTGATTAAAAGATTCCTCTTTCTCCTCTCTGGAATACGAGATGCTATTTGGGATTTAAGGTTTTTTTTTTTCTGCTCACTAGTCAAGTACCTGTGACCAAGCTGTAGCTTAAATAAATACTATCACAGGTGAAAGTGAGGTGGCTGTAAAATGACTTACTTTAGCTCTTAAGTGGATCGAAATAAGGGAGTGATAAAGGAAATTCGGCATTCAGATACCTGTTACTTTGCCATAAAGCTCAAGTATACTAATACTTAATGCTGAAAACCAATTTGATTTTACAAAGATAGTGCCATCTCAGGAGTTGTGTAAGCTCTGTGGCCTGCCCTTGCCCGGGTGCCTCTGTTCCCTCCAGGACAGAGGGCAGTCGGACTTCCAGCCACGCCGTGGAACGTGCGGCAGGTCCCTGTGTGTGTGTGAAGCCGCCCTCTCCTGCCATCCCACCCAGGGAGCTACGCGGATTCAGCTGTGAGGCTCCAGGGCTTTGCTGGCCTCAGAGGGCAAGTGCAAAACTACTGGCTATTTAAACTGTGTGTGGATAAAAAGGTCTAAGTTTACCTTGATCTAATGTGCCTGTTCAAAACAAAAAACAAACAAAACACGATTGTCCTTTACTGTAGTTCTGACTAAATGTATCACACTAGTCAATCAGTAAAAGGAAGTGCCAAAGAACTTGCCAAGTTTGTTAAACACAAAATGTAGGACTTTGCTAAGGATTCTTATGACAACTTGCATAGATTTGCCTCTTTTGTGTAMAATTAATTCTGTAAATGTCATGTTTAAAGCACAAAACCCCTGGCAGGTATGGTGGACGTACTGGCATCTCAGTTTCCTCAGCTGCTCTGAGTGGGAGCTGAAAACTAACCAACTATGAAAGTCGAGGGGCAGAAAAGTTTGGGGACAAAACTCTTTGAAGACCAATGTAAAAATATCAGAAGTATGTGATTTTCTTGTCTGAAAGTGATCTTGGCACATTCCAGCTCTAACTGCTTTAAACTGAAAATTCAACACTGCTGCATTACGGTCAGTAGATAATTATTATGTAGCACAAAACCAGATGGATGTGAAAACTTTAGACCTGAAAGATCCACATAAGATGTGATGAGACGAGTCACCCAAAGGTTTGCTCAACGTAGCAGTTCTTTAGGCTGAGGAGACAAGTATAACAAGCCTGTAAGTTATCCAAAATGGAATGCTGTGCCACCTCTGGAAGAACTTTCAGCGTCACATCCTTCAGATATTCAGATTCATTTTTTTTTTTACAGATATCTGTGGTGCCTCAGAGAAACTTAAAGATACTCCTACGCTTAATACTCTTCTACAGGGTATTCTTAAGGCAGGTAATAAACAGCTTTCTCTAGTGTTCAAAAATGAATTGATAAATATTTCATCAAATAGCTAACAGCAATACTGTATGCTGCTACCCATTAGATCACAACCCCAGTGCACAATGAGGCAGGAGAACCACCTCTTTGCATGGAGTCTCCTACTTCTGTCAGCCCTAACAGGTGGAGTGTCATTAATCTCAGTTAGTTCCCTGAATGACAGAACTGATAAAGTTGCTTTTTCAGAGGTAGCCTGTCCCAGTGCCTCTTTTTCTTCTTTTAAATCAGCCACAACAGGCTACCTAAGACTGACGTGTCATTCTACACAGTGATGTAGGCAGGTGCCTGTTTATGAAAGGGACTGTCTAATCACTGCCACTTGGAAATGAGTCTGTGTTATTAGAAGCTTAATAGGATCCCTATAGGCTTAGAATTCCTTTACCTGTCCTAAGCTGCCTAACGTGCCTTGTGCACGTTAACATTAGCATTACATCTGTTTRGGATATTCTTATAGCATTTAATTTTTCTATCTTACCTGAAGCATCCTCAGTGAAGACTTCGAGGAACCAGTTCTTTGCAAGGGGGACTTGGAATTTGCACGAACGATGTCTAAGCGAGACTGGTAGTCAGGTGGATAGAGTGAGCTCCGAAAAACCTGTTCAGATGAAGAAAAGCGTGATTCAGGTGATGAAAACTGAACAATGTTCAGGTGAAGAAAACTGGACAATGATTCAGCTTGCAAGCTAACAGTCCACAAGACTAAGCTGTCTARCAAAAACACTGCAATGGACAACTGTAACAAAACACTGCTATAGAAATATGTATCAACTGTAAGTTTGGATGGACCGCTTGGAATCACGTTTAGCAAAAATAACATCCCTGCTCACCCCAAAACATGACTCATCTGTCAACACCYTTATGTAGGGCAGCTACACATTCTTCAGATGAGAAGATACAGAGTTCCTGGAGTGATCTGTAGGTGGGATTCTGCAATGGTTCCCTGGAGTCTGGGCACAAACTGTGTGGGATGGGGCAGGCCTAGCCTAGATGTGCAGCTAGGTTTAAGGCTGAGCTAGAGACACCAACCCCAGGTAGGGATGACAACCCCCCCCCCGGCAAGCCTTCCATTCTGGGGGGAGATCAGCTGCTCTGCCCTTAACCAGCAAGTCCTTGCTGCCCATCAGTCACAGCACAAGAACTTCATTTGAAATGCTCAAGAGACATGTGCAGCTCCAGAATAATTTGGGAAGAAYCTTAAAATGGCGGGGAGGGGGGACATGTAGTCTTCATTGCATTTACTAATTCTTTCCATTGTTCAGGACTAGGAACCTGATACAGAAAACAGCAGAACCACTGAGGCAAGAATTTTTTAAATAAACTGAAGAAAGATGGTAGAATACGGCCAGTGAGTATGTTTATGGGAAGTAAATGTTGTCAAATCGATTAGAGTTAAGCTGAGATTGTAAGTCCATTTGCAAAGGATAAAATATTCACTTAGGTGGTTTTTTTTTTTTTTTTGATTCAAAGATACATGATATTTTATTTATGAAACTAGAATAATACAACAAAACAAACCCCTCCCCAAGCRAATTCCCCACAAACTATTGGGTCTCAGATGTGACTGTCACTGACGAATGGTGGTTTTACATACGTTTCAGTGACTRCACACTGACATCCTTATTCCTATTCAATGTCATGGAAAACACAGAATTAGTACTGGTAAAACTTAGGGAAAAAAAAAACAAAAAAACACCCAAATACTGGAAGTGAAGCAATTTCCTTGACAAACTGAACACATGCACACAGTATCTATTTAAATAATAGCACCTCTAGAGGTCCARTATCCAGAATTGTAACTCTAGAGGTGACTTGAAGCTGAAACTGTAACATGTCTACAAACAGGAAACAAATGTTTCTTAACTGTAACAGCAGCCTAATAAGTGATATCTGAAAGATGAAGAAAACCAAAATTGAGAATGAGAAGAAAATACACATTTTTAATGGAGCAATTAGCCTTCAGAACACCTTATCAGAGCAATGAGAAGATTCTCTCTTGCTGTGCATCTTTGCAGCACGAGTCACTGCAGAGGTAATCCTAGCAGATGTCCTTTAATAACTGTAATTGCATGGAATGGCTTGGAATGGTAATTAATTTACGCAAAGTCTCTTATCTCTATTTTGTGCAAAAGATTAGACAGGCACTGCTGTTCTCGACTACCTTTAAAATCTATGAGTTTATAAACCTGTSTGATCTGATCTGTAAGCTCCTTGTTGGAATGGTGCAAAAAGGGCTCAATGTAAGATGACAGTTCATTCTAGTCACCTATTTTTTTTTTCTTTTTTTTTTTTCCCCTAGAATATATACAGCTTAGGAATATGGAAAAAATGACTTTATGTAGTATGTAAATTAATTACTCTCACCTCTAAATCTTCATTTTCATCAATATTCTGGATATTTTGGTAGGCCGCAGTATAAATCTCCAAAGCTTTCCCATGAAATAACATTTCAATGGTTATAAATTCAGAAAATATGTTCTAAAAGCAAATAAAAAAAAAAAGGTTTTCTTAATTCAGTAAGGAACACTTTTATTTGAAATGTACAAATGATGTGCTTATAATACAAATGACTGCACAAAACCTAGTATTTTTGTAGTAAAAAAAAAAAAGGATTTGAATTTCTGAAATTAAATGCAATGCTGGTTAGGCTCTCACYTGCCTGGTCATCAATTCATACTAAATTTTAAGTATTCACTTGAAAAGTAAAGTCGATACATTTATTTACTTATTAGGAGTAAATTAAAGGGAGATGGCAATATCTATTTGCAAAATCTACTCGCTGTCTTTTGTTTTACTGATAGCAACCTTGTTTGGAACAAACTATATGTAACTTTACACACATAATTATTTCTAAATTATGTATGTGAAATATAATACAGTAATATAGTAAAAATCTTTCCCTTAACAATGGTATCTCTTACATTCACACAATCTTACTGATGTTCCATCAAATGCTGGTGGATTTATGGGTTTTTTTTTCCTCCTAGACTTAAATTTTAGTATTTATTTTCCTTTTTTACAAAATAGAAAGTATTTAGCAATTATATAGCTAAATATGAGATCACATAGTTTAAACCTTTCTCAATTGCCATAGTCCTTGGGACGTGAGTAGTTGCACTAACAAATCAAAGTAGAACAGAGAACTGCTGGATACTGCATGCAAATGTTAAACAATCAAATCCAGGAAAATCTTGAAGCCAGTAAAACTTGAAAAATAATTCATTCATTTTGTAATTGCATGCAATTTCATAATTGATTAAGAAATACTTGTAAATAAAATCATGTGGTATTGCCAGACTTAAAATGTTGTTATGCTAATCTTGCCAAAGAGTAACTATAGTAATTTTAAGATGTCATATACTGAAATGTGAGCACACATACTTTTATGTCCTTTATTTTCTGTTTCTCGAAATTATCAATGGTTTCCTCTAATTGCCGAGTTGTTCGGGTTGCATCCAGCGAAGCTCTCTGCAATTCACTTTCAGCCTGATAGAAGTAATGCAAAGGTGAAATCAGGCCTGTATTTGACACATACAAAGTCATTTACTRTAATTACAATGGAAACCTTTAAGTATGAGTTTTCAAAACATTACACATSTGGATTACTCTACCTGTACATATGGTTGCAGCTTAATAAACAAAGTTTCCTTCTATATTATGTCTTCAACATAAAACAGGAAAATTTACTAGCTGCAGCCAATAGAGAAGGTCCCATTTTCTGTATTGCTTATGTGCTAATTCCAGTAAGCCATCCCTGACACTTACCTGATCTTGAAGCTATTTTGGTTAATAACTGTGTTTTCTTACAATGTAACCTATTTTTTAGTGTTGTCTCTTGGAACCTAACATGTAACACGTATTACTGKGTAGTTTCTTTTCCTTTGGAAAATAGCTGTTAACCTTCTATTACAGAATTATAAACTTGAACCCTAATCCCCTTACAAAAGAAGTTTTAMAGTTTGAATAGACACAATGCTGAATAGACAAAAGTGGTAGGGATATTAAGTATTAAATTTGGTTCATTTCCCTTTCTTGATTTTTTCTCCAAAGAAAGGAGAGAAACAGGCTAAGATAGAGGATTTTGTGCATTCTCAATTATAACAATCATTTGCTCTTTTTAAATGAAAGCAGCTGTTATGCATAAGCAGTCATTACACATGCAAATACTGTACATTATTTCTGTGATAATGAAATGTATCTTTGTGATTCATCTTAAATAGACTGGGCATATTTTGCATGCTGATGCTTTGGGAAAGGAATGTTGTTTGCTGTAGAGTGAAATGTTTAAACTTGCAGAACTCAAACAGTTGGCAGAATAGCACTTTGAAATTAAGATGTTAAAGATGTTTTCTCTTCTGAAATACCCACCTGTGACTGGAAATATAGGTAAAGGAAAAATGGCAATCAGTATTCATTATCAAGACAGCTATTTGCACATTTATTTTTAACATATTCACACATCTGAAGATTCCTGTATACTTACAGGCTGCTATTATTAAGGTGTCCAAAACTTACTGTTTTTGTAACAGGGACCTGAAATATGTGAATAAGTACAGACCTTTTGCGAAATATGGCCCAAACTGCTAATTGCTGATAGGCCCCAATTGCACGAGAACAACAGAACWGAAGTGGGAGCCTAACTGCTATGCTGTTATCCATGAATGTGGTCCAGCCTCTCTCAGGCCTAAAAATCTCACCCATGGACACTGTTCCRAAACAAAAGAACATAATCCAGCCTAGCTCAGATAAATATTCCATCACTGGGAATGGGGGTGGGTAAAGGAATTAAGCCTGCAACCAATATCTTATCAACCTAACATCTGTTACTTTAGCTGCRACCTAGGCAATGTGCAAGGGAAGCTGTGCTGCCCTTGGGGCTGGAGTGGATGCCATACGTATCCTCAGCAAAGAGAGGGACAAAAGGCTGTGCCCAAAAGARACGTGACCTCTGTTCAACCTACAAATGCTTAAATGCATTGTTACCACCTCCCAGCAGATTTTCTTTGCCATAACGTCTGCCATACAAGCAATGCCACTGAGGTGTTCTTTTCCATACCAGTGCAAAGGGTGTTCACAGTACCTAGTTTCTTCCTGGCCCTGGGAAGCCTAATGAAGTTACGCGCTGGGTTCCCGCTCCCTATTCTACTTTTGCACTTTGTCCCGATCACTTTACAATGCAAGCATATACCATTTGGTGCCTTCAGGCATGTGCAAAAGTAGACTCAGATGGAGATTTAGTAACTTCTCAGGCAAAAGAAAAATGAGTACAGAAAATACAGATGTTCCAAGAAACTATTCTGTGGGAGGATATTTAGGAGTAGCTTAGCAAAGGAACAAGAGAAAGAAAAAGCCAGGTGTGAGCAATATATCTTCAGTATCAACTGGGAATGACCGGGAAGAGAGCAAGGAAGTGCAAGGCCCCTTCAGGGAGAAGAGCTTAGTGTTATTTACTCTTTTGAGTCTAATGAAGGAGAACTCTGCATCACAGTTTAAGTCCTAGCCCTAAGGCTGGTATCTGTGTCYCTTCATTACATGAGGAACACTAATTAGTTATTCCTCGATTTAACTGACTTGAATATTATTACAGTAGGAATTCTTTGGCAGAGACAAAACCAGAATGCAGTTCTCTGGATGATGCTTCATCACCACAGCCAAATGGCTCTGATTTTGTCTCTCTGGGAAGTTCCATGCCCAAACGCTGCCTTGCTTCTCACCTCTGAAATGAGCTTGATGCTGCAAAGTGGGTTGTTTCACAACACAGTCCTCACTCCAACTCCAGAATGCAAGAAAACAAAACAAACAACCCCCTCCCCAAACACACCAGCACACAATCACTAACCTAACTGCTCTATCATATAAAATATTGGTGCAAAGGAATCTAAACTAACACTGCTCTGACGACCTTTTCTGACATTTTCTAGAATCTGACTGTTTCAGAGTTTGAAACTTTTATGCAAGTTCAGTGGAAATTCTGTGGTGCTTCATTTTTCCCTTGTGATATAAAATAACGCACTATGGGAGGTCTTTGGGGTTAAAGAGTAGTCTGGTGGAGTATTCTGCTGACAGACTTGCAGCCTGTCTCATCACACTTCCTTGTGCATTGAGAGGAAACTCAAACCCCATCTAGGTACAGGGAAGAGCAACCAAAACAACGGAAAGAAAAACAATGAAAAAAAACATTCTGCAGGAATAAAAAATGGMAGTGTGTGATTAGAATTGTTTTCAAAAACATCTAATAATTAATGCCTACCTCTCTTTCAAATACACATCAGATACTTCATAGTTTATTTTCAGTTAGAAAGGAGTGGGTAATAAAGCAGCTACAACAATAATAAGCTATAATAAGCTATAACCACTATCACTTAGATGCAAAATCAACAGAGAAAAGAATATTCCTTTCATATTGCTTCCTGAACACCATACTTTTAATTCCTGGAAAACTAAAAAAAAATATATATTTTCTAGTCAATAGAGGATACGATAATGTGTCTATCTGACGGATTCCGTTGCCGTGTCTTTTCCAGTTGTGATAGTTGCTTGGCTTCTCGATTCTTGGCCGTTAAGGTTGCTTTAAGATCGTCCTGAAAATAAAATGTTTTGGACATATTTCAAATCTAGGATAGTATGAAATATACATTTCTTTATATATGCCTACCTAAAAAACAAACAAAATTTGTGCTTAAACAAACCAGATTTTTATCAATCTTATCCTGTCAGATGATCTTTTGATGAAGTGAAGTCAATGAGGGCTTAAAGAGTTTATTACCTTGCAAAAATCTCTCTATCACACACTATATTTTAAAAATGTGGAAAAAACAGTAATGGCTTTTCAAGAAAAGTGTAGTAGATGGTTAAAAGCTGAAGMTCCCAAACTACTAACTGGAGAGCAATGTCAGGCTTAACAATGGAATAAAGGTAAYGTTTAGAACTAAACAGTGATGTATCGGTTAAAGAAAATCCAGCACTCAGTACAAAACAGAGTTTATAAAGAACAGAAAAATGGTATACAAATTTTAAGACATTAGAGAAAATCCATGAGTGAAATATAGGTAATAAAGAGTTCAAATATCTTTGGAACAAAACACATCCTAGTAATGATGTAGTTGGAAAAGATCGATCTGTTCGCATCCAACTAACAAATTCTTGATCGTATTATTAAATTGCATTTTGTAAACACCTCCTGTACCCAAGATCTTAAATTTGCTGCCAGATACACTCCAGRTATGTGAGAAGTCATTAATTCTGATTGCTGCTATTAGAAGGGGCWGTACTTTAGGGTAAATATAAATAAAACACTAAGGAATAAGTTTAAACAAATTTGGGACAGGAATTGAGCATACATTTCAAACCATAATTTCCTCTAAAAAGAACAGCTCCAGTTTATCACTCTAGACAGACAAGAAGATGAAAGAYAGTACCAATTCAGGTGAACTTTTGATATGCAGAAATGATTTACATAACCCACACCACACTATTTTAAAGTGTTTRTTTGTGCTCCTAGAGTCTGAATATTCTTGTCTTCACATCAAAACTACTTCTTCCAATATGTGTCAAGCTCCAGTTCRGATGCATTTTTATATAAATGTTAGTTATATTTATCATTGCAATAAGAAAAATCACAACTAAGTTTCCTGCAAAATTTAATTTTTTAACTGACCAGTATACACGTTGTGAGAAAATACACATTTAACTTACTCTTTTAAGCTTTACTATGGTCCCATAACTTTTCAGCGGTTCAACAACTTTGGCTTCAAGCCTTTCAACCTACAAAAGAAATCACAAGGTCACTGAAGTCATCTGCACCTCTGGTGCATATAGACAGAGAACTGTGGGAATGGAGGGTTAGGAAGTACTGCCAAAAAACAAACAAGCAAGCAAGCAAGCAAACCAACAGAATCAGTAGGTCATCTGTATTTTGAGGAGCTAGAATTTCTTTCTARGAGAATTCTGCTCATTTCAGTAGCAATACACAAGGGTAAAACAAACATGGAAATCTTAACAACTGCTAAGTACTAAATAAAATCAACAATGCATCTCAAGTGTCCATAGTTTTCTATTCTAAAAAGTTGAAAATAATGATTTTGCTTTAAACTTGTTAATACATTATAGTCTGAATAATCTTTGTTGTCTACTATGCTGTAAGAAATGTAACCCTTTTGTTCCTAAGGCTATTGGAAAAAAAAAAGTAGGTACTGAAAATACTACAAATATGTCTGCAAGTTACATAAAACACATGAATGTTCTCAAGAATGAGTACATCTGAATTTTTGTTTCTGTTCTCTTGAGATTACAGATCCATAGTTTAAAAAAGGACCAAGGTATCACACAGTATGTTTCACCTGTACATTATGCCATAAATGTACTCTGYATAGAGTAATTTTATATAAAGTAATATATCTCTATATAAAATTAGAGTAATTACTCTATATAGATTAATAAAGTAATATAGAGATAGATTACTATTAAATTAATAGAAGAATAATGTGCAGTGAGAGTCTGGCACACAAAATCCTATGAAAATCCCACAATCCACATCCTCAGATATCTTAGTAGTTTTCAAAAATCTGGCACTAAATACACAAGGAAAGATCCATGTGTATTTTTGCATTTTCACAATGTTCTATTTAGTAAGGAAGATTAGATAAATCAGATTAACTTTTAGATAGATTAAACTTTGATTAAGTAGTTATTTTTTCTCCGTTATTAATACAGAAAGATGACTTAGGATTCTTTAAAGGAAATATTTTATCTGAAAAAGAAATCAAGAATGTTRAATAGTTKTTTTTTTAAAAAAATWAATTATAAAGCTTCTTAGCTTCTCAAAACCATACATGGATTTTTTTTTTCTGTAGGGAAAAGTATTCCAAAAACTGTTTTGAGTATTTTTTACACTAAAAAATTACACACACAAAAAAAACCATTAAAAACTTCAACATTAAAGCAACATTAAAAACTCTGATTCATAAGTTATAATTTGGATGGACCCCCCCACAGATCCACAGCTGGCATAAAGAGCTGTGTTTGTGTTCTCACTAATCTAGCAGGAATTAGGCTCTAGTGTCACACCTGGTCCCAATGGAGTATGTACTTTGAGGTGACCAAGATAAATCAGTGTTGAGACGCAGCCTTAYAGAAGTCTCCAGTGCTCCCGACAGCACCCCAGGCTGCCTGTCAAAGAGCCCAGGGGGGGATTCTCATCAGCATTTTCTTCTATGCTCTTCTGGTAACAGATTCACCAAAAAGAAAATGCCTGATTTTCAGCTCAGTTACTGCCAGACAACTCAAATTACAAAATGAGTGGGGTTTTTTTTAAACCATAATCATAATCCAAAAATCTAGAGTTCTCTTTTTTTTTGCTCTGCAAGAGGCTTGCTGTCTCAAGTTCTGTCAGCATTCACATGAACAGCATCGTTGAATCCAACAGTACTGAAGTTTTTAGCAGAGTAAACTACAACTGTTTTGGGAGCCTATCTCACTGTGCTGCTAATATATTTAAAAGTGCATTCTCTTAAGATTGAAGAGTGTATTTTTATATACTCTTGTATAAAGTGTATATAAAACTTTAATCACCCTCTTAATCACAGATGAGTAACTGAGAAGTTCTGTTGGCAAACACAACATGTACAGCTTTAATCTTGTACCTCAGCCTGGCGATAATCCTGAAGTCTGGAAAATTCATCTGCAAAGTTTTTCAGTCCAACTTTTAAGTTTGGTGTCTCCGTAGCAGCATATGCATATATTTCATTTACTAGAAGATCTGCTTTGTCTCGTAGTCTGGCAGTTTTACGTACATATCCAGCAAATATTTGGCACAGTTCTCCAAAATGTTTTTCCACATTTGAAACAGCATCTCGTATTTGTCTAGTCTGATTGTCCCTAGATACCAAGGGCAAATAAATGAAAATTAAGATGAGAATCATGTACCAAATAAAAACAAAAGTGCRTGAACACACCATGGAAAACTTATAACTGATTTGGAACGTCTCATTTCAGTGTAAATCAGAAATCTATTCTTAAAAAGACAACATTTTAACAAATTCATATATTTTGTGCTTAGTGATGTATGAAGGAAAAAAATAGAAAGTAGCATTTATATTTAGCTTAAAAAAAAAAAAATCTATACTGGAAACCTCAAATCACAAAAATCACCTCAGAAATCTTCCTACGGGTGTTAAGCAATGGCTATTACTGTTAGCACTGATCCTAACCCTTTGGTAACACCTACARGTCTCAAACCAGGCTGGCTCATAGGGCTTCCTTTCCCTCCCACAGCAGCTGAAGACAAGTCAGTGGTGGCAGAGACTAAAATTGGGCAGTAGAGGGAAAATGTATAAAGGTATTAAGATTTCTTGAAGTTAGGTACCGGGGTCTAAGTGCATTGATTCAACACTACTAAGGGTGAAGATGCTTGGGAGATGGAGATAAGGAGAAAAACTTTTAATATTTTCAAATTATCCCTGATCTAAGTACTGACCAATGTTTAAATACTAATTTTGTAACAGRTGAAACTCAGAAGCACTGGAAGAGGCTTAGGCTGAGTAACGCTGCAGTCAAGCCAGGTGAATAAAACCCTTCCATTAAAGCACTTTAGGAAAAAGTTCCGCTATGGACAAATACCAGTTATGCCACCTCAYAACAAGTGGTCCAAGGAGACAAGTCAACAGATTTTGTCCTTTAAAGAAGAGGAAAAAAGAAAGAAAAAGCAAAGTCTGGGTGGCGTCGTTCCGCCCTCCGGACACGCTCGACCCTCGGACCCCTCGCCCTGGTCGGACCCCATACGAGAAGCGGGAAAGCGCGAGGTACCCAGTGATCTTCCTCCATCAACACGAGCCTCCAGGCACGGGCCCGCCTCCCTTCCCACCTCCTTGGCTGGCACCGGGTATTCCCGGTAGGAGCCTCCTTCCCCCGCAGCCCCCCGCGCCCGGGCAAGTTCCGCGGCCGCTGCCCTGGAGCCCTTCAAGGCCGCCGGGCTCCGGGGCGGCGCGGGGCGCCCGGCCTCCTCCTCCTCCCGCCCACAAACCGGCAGCGGGCACCGGGAGCGCGGCCCGGCCCGGCCGGACTCGGGCCCTGGGCCGCCGTTACCTGGCGTCCAGCCCGCGGCCCAGCATCATCATGGCGGCGGCGGCGGCGGGGAGGCGGCGCGCGGCCCGTTGCCATGGGCGCCTCGCGCCGCCCCTCTCCGCCCCGCGCCGGGCCCGAGGGGCCCGAGGAAGGCGAGCCCCGAAGCGGGGRCACGGGCAGCGGAGCGGAGCCCCCTGCACAGGGCAGCGCCGCGGGGCCCGCGCCCGGCCCAGCGCCAGCCCGGGCGCGTCCCTGTGTTTAGGATCTGGGCTCCCAGCCTGGAGTCTGGTGTCGGTTTATCGCTGTTCGGAGTGGGCTTAGAGGCCGCGCCGGATAGGATGGAGCTTTAATGAAGCTATAGCAAAATCTAAATAGGTTCTAAATAGGTCTTTGCATCAGCTATGCTGAAAAAAAATAAGGTTCCCCTTTCTCAGGGAAAATCTTACGAAACCAATGGTAAAACTCACCCCAAAAGTCTTAAATGTTTAAGATCTCAGGAGAGTAATAAATGTAATCCCAAAATAGAACCATGGGTGAGACGCCAGCTGCTAACTCAAGGCGCAGTTTTCTTCCATTCCTTTGCAGGCTTGAGATGAGTTTTACTGATGAACCAACACACTATTAGTAGTCTAACAGATCAGCTAAATGACCAATAAACTAATAATCACATCRGTATTGTTAATTCGCAGTTTTATCATTCCTCATGCTGCCGTGATGATTACTACCTTAGATTTTACCATTCTTAAGGCTTTTGAGTTGCACACAGCTGAATTCCAGATCTGTCACCTTCCTCTGAGCATCTCGCTCTGCTTGTCACCAGGGTACGACTCTGTTCCTMCTCACTCTGCCTCTCACACCAAGTGTTTTGGACAGCGACCTGAGTCCCGTGGGTTGTCCACGAGGAATCCCTCCAGTGTCCTGGTGGGCTTGGATCTGCAGGTCAACCTTGAGGCACCGCCTAGGGATCCACACTCCTGCTGTGGGAAGAGAAGTCTACTGTTGTTTACTATTTTTTCCTGTCATTTTTCCTTCTGTTTCACCATGTTCCCTTTTTTTTCTGACAAATCTCTCAGGCAAATAAYCTGCCCCTAATTATTTTTCCCATATTTCTTGATTTTGCTACATCTGTACTCAAATTTGATGGGTTTGATACTGTTAGCAGGGCAATTTGGACTTCGCTACTGATATGGTTACCTAGGTACTGGTGGTCTCAACCAAAGGTTCCTCATACTCCCCTTCAGTTTTCTGATTCATACTGGATACATATTGCTTATCTTGCAGCATCTCTGAGGCCTATTATTCTACTTTAGCCTCTTTTTCTTAACCTAGTTTCTATTAAGTGCTTTACTCTATGTGCAAACAGCCTACTCACCAGAGCAAGGCGTATCCTGTTACATATTTTTACCACTATGGTTTTATACTCACACAGCATCCTGGTCTTAAGTGCTTAATTACAAATTGTGGCTTTGACATGTTCTTTTGGTCAAACTCCTGGTTTGCTGCAAGTCTTGTCTCATGAGGAGCAGTGTCCCAACAGCACCTCTTGTTCACAGATGCCAACCTGATTTTGAATCACCAGGAGYCTGAACAGCAGGAAACCTCTGTTCTACTAAGGGTGTGTTGTTCATCCAAGAAAACAAAGGCAAAGCAAGTATTAGAAGGACGAGAAGTTCTTACCCAGTAAAGTGCTGTTGAACGAGGTGCCATATAAAYATGATAAGAAATACGAATTTATTTGTTTCAAATTATGAGCCAATGAGAGACAGAGACTGATGTCTTGACACTTAATGAGAGGGTAAAATGCTTTGAAAACAAGGAAAAGTTGTGAATGAAGTCAGAAGTTGTCATTGTAATAAGACACGTGGAATGACAGCTCATCTTCAGCTATTAACAAACTCAATCTACTTTAGTCCTGAAAACCCTTGCACAGATATTTAGAAAACTTATCATGTATATGGTGATTGCACACGTGATTTGACTCAATAGTTCTTAACAGGATACAAGAGATAGTCCTGGAATGGGTGGCCCACCAGCTTCCACTGCGCATGAGAAGTTGAAAAAAAATGCAATAATGTTGCGAGAGCCTGCTGAAATTTTGACTCATTGCAGAATGTATAAGAGCACAGGCTGCATAAATCATGGAGTGGAAAAATATTTTTATACTGTGAATTATACTGGAGAATTATGTTGAAAGTAATGCCAAATTTCCTGCTCATTGCCTCTAAGCAAGTTTCCAGTAAAACATACTAAAGATGATGACATCTCACAAGTGGCAATTTCTGTCAATAACATCTTGTAAAAGGACATTTAGCTTTTTCAGAGGCTGAAGACAAGAGAGGCCTGAAATATCCAATTGACGGTATTTTCCAGTATTCTTCCAGAACATAAAGACCTGGCAGGTTTCATGATTAAGTCTGTTTAATTTGTGAAACTAATTTTAGAAATGGTCACACTAGAAATCTCAGTGGATCTTTAGCCAAAATGTGTGTCCTCTTGTCTTAAGTGAATTTTAGTGAATTCTCAGACTGTAATAATTTCTATATTTTTTTTAAATTCAGATGTTTCCTCTCTTCCTGACATTTCACCTCTTTGAGTCTGGGGTTCCCTCACGTAAGTCAGGAACTAAATCTGCTCCTACACCTATCTATGCTTTCTTTCTCAAGATTAAGAGACAGTTTCTGGGAACAGTTGTTCCCCAATGCACAAGTCTCCAACACCAAGTTCAGAATGTCTTAATTAAAAATCAGTTAGTTTGTGAGAAGGAAAAAAAATAACAACATAATTAAAAAAACAGTCCTCAGGCTAATACCCGTAGGCAGGTATAGCCTTCTGTCATCCATCAGTACTGGTTACAGCATATAAGCCTCRTGATGATTTATGCATTTGCTTGCTATTTTCTTAGTTCTTCTTTAGTTGAGCATTGGCCACTGTCAGAGCTAGGATACTGGCCTAGCAGGATGTTTCAGCACAGACATTTGGATGTTTTTATGTTCTCATGGTCTTTATCAGCTAAGAAGCATTCTTTTGCTTGGTTTCTCACTTACCTTCGTGGATGCATTTCTCCTGCACTTTCCTTTATGTAAACAACAGATTCAAGGGTGAAATGCAAAATACATCTGGCACATGCTGCTGCCCAAACTTTTTGATGTTTCTTATTTTGAGCTATGTGTTAGAAAGTATTTTTTTACTCAGTCCTTTTGTTTATATCATCTGCATTTTCAGACTTTCACTTCCAGTAGTAAACTGTATTTTCTTGAGTTGGTCCCTCAGCCTAGCCAATGCAGATGGTTTCYGGTTTATCCCTAAAAGCTACTGCTCAGATATTGACAGAGGAAGACATGTTGACACTGTTCTCTGATACCCTAACTATTTAAAGTGCACATTTGTTGGTGTGCAGATTGTGGTCCTGGCTACGCATAGTAAGGACTGGTCCATGTATCAGAGAAGGGATTGCAAAACATCTGCTTCCGTATCTGTGGTTGAGGTTATTCTGGATGCTCTTACTCATTATTATCAGTGAAAGGTTCTCCAGTTATTGTGGTAACACTATAGAAATACACAGTCCACGTGCTTTACCGAAGCTGACTCAATGTTCCTGAGCTCTGTAAACCCATTTTGATATTGATGCCTCAAGATGAAGAGCCCGCACCAATCTGCTTGTGTTGCTGGAAATTCRGAGAAGAAGGGAAGCTTGGAAGCTCACACATTGTTGCCTCTCTCCATGGGAATCTATAGTAAGAAACACAATGTTTATTTTGAATTGGAATATCCATGGTGAGGAAAAGCAGCCTCGGAGAGGGGATGTGCTGCTTGTGCTGCCACCTCCTCCCTGGTTGCCTCAATGGCAGCAGCACCGGCGGCAGCCGCCGTGGCTCCCAGGGCTCCGGCTCATGGGGATCCGGCAGTGAAGCCAGGCTGCCTTGCCGTCCCCCTTGGGCTGGTGTCAGAAGCAATCTAATCTGCCTTTTGCCTCCTGATAACTCTGTTAATACACAAATTAATTAAATAGACACTTGTATCATTAACATGGTACATTATTTTAACTAACAAGTAGTTGTAAAGAGATTTTGTTGCTGAAAAGAGTATGAGTCAACAGCAGCAACAAGAAGTCAGAATTCTGCCTTTAGAATTTCTAATTTATTAGAATACAAAATTGATGGCAAGTCACTTTGCTGCCTGAGAGGCAGATTGGTAGGAAGTTCTTTGTTGTCCCATTCTGTGAGTAGGAAATTTCTCCCAGGTCGTTTAAAATTGAAGTTAGGGAGATTGGAAGAGCAACGAGGGAGCTTATCTGAATGGACTACATGTCTGTAATACCTACCAGATGCATAATGTTGACTGAAATTTCCTTGTCTGCAGCTTTTCTCTACAGACTCAAGCTGGTCTTTGGGCAGGGTTCTTGAGTTGCCTCTGCAGAGTGCTTGGAGGTTGCAGCTCTAGACCTGTCTCCTCCGTTGCTTCCTGTATAAGCAACTGCCTCCCTGGGATCCCAAGACCAACTGGCCTGGGTTGTGTTATATCTTCAGTTTAATTAGTAGTTCACTGCTGGTATTACAGGAGAGTAGTGGTGTTCGTACACACCTGGATGTCTCCACAGGGCCTCTTTTGGCACCCATGTGGCTGAAATAATGCAAAGGATTGAAACAGCCCTCCAGAGTGTTGCTTATAGCATGTAACTGAGGCTGTATATATCCTGGAATGTAGTTTAAGAACCTGCTGAGATATTTAAGGGACAGAATTTGCTACAATAGTGTTAAAGGATTGTAGAGAATGGAGGGAATCAGCTGGAGAGTGGAAGAAGCAAAACTGATGCAGTTTCAATTGTATTGGCTTCTGTCATTCTCAGAGTAATCTGCTCCCAGAATTGTACTCATACCTTGTCTGAGAAAGAACACTTTGGAACTGTCCAGAGTCAGGAACTGATAAGACAATTAAACAATAACTGATTTTATCTCAAGGCCCTATTTCATTTAGCAGTGTGGATGCATCCCCGTAATGCTCTATGCTTAGAAACGTTTCCCGTATTCACCTAGCACCTCTCTTGCAGGTTTGTTGTCCACATGAACAGTAGATCTGATC